GGTCAACTTTTTAAATGTTTTCAAGGGTTCTTTAAAAAAAATTATAAAAAATTCTTGGTCATGCAATATTATCTCTAAATAGTAGTTTAATTAAATTAAACAATACATAGTTATGGAATGTATGAGTGTTGTACCATAGTTTTTATCAAAATAATAAAATATGAAGGACCCTAAAATATAGCCCTACATGACTGGAGATGGAAATATTTAGCCTTGTACTATTCTTTAAAAAATTAATATTTTGGAGGGCTAAATTTTTAGCCCTGGACTACATTTAGCCTTATGACTGGAGATGGCCTCACTTGCTTTTAATCATGTAAGTTCTGTCATGCCTTTATTCATTTACACTAACCTTAGATCCCACATAGCTTCAATAGGCGAGATAGAAATTCTTCTCCAATGCAGTTCTTGAGCTCTCTTTCTAATGGGGTGAGATTTCTATATGAGTAGGGTAATTGACTGCTAGAGAAGGGACCTCTGTTTATATGCATTTACTTAAGTGTCTTGGCCATTAAGAAACACTTAAGTAATCCAGTTTGCATTAGAATTGGTTGTTTTAATCCATATGGAATTAGGAATTCTCAAGGACCTTATTTTCAATTCAAACACTCTTTTAACAAAAACTGCAGATAATGTTTAAGTCTATACTCCTAAATCAATGTAAACTGCCGAGTTCTTATGCCATTAGAAGATCAAAAACATGGTTAAGACAAGATATTATCTTACAAATCGTGCCACATGAATTTAGCCATACTACGTGGAATTTGATTTTCGGTCCCCACAAGTGACGAGGGAACTAAAAACCACCTACAACCATCAATTAACTTTTCTTTGTTCCTTTGAAACTTTTCAGATGCTTGGTTGTACTAGGAATAGCAATTTTCCCCGCGGGTAAGGGTCTTCGTGGGGATTCAACCCTAATGGGTCGGGTATGGGGAATTTTTTTGGGTATGGTGTTCGGGGAGGGGCGGGGATGGTATTTTAATCCCCAACCTGAACGCTCCCTGTTTAGAATATATATTAATTTTTTGATGAGGTATATATATATATATATATATATATATATTGCCATATATAAATATGCTATTAAAGTGATTGTACCGACTAAGTTTTATATTTTATATTATTATATTATATACTTATATAATTTATACAAATCATATGCCACACTACATATTTATTTAGTTAACTTCCAATATATATATAAACATTCTTATATTGTCTTATAAGTATATATTATATATATTTATTATCTTGATAGTTTTTTTTTTTTTTTTCAACAAAGTAGTTATATATTGATTTTTTCTTCCGTAATGGGGAGGGTCAGGAAACCCATTCCCCAACGAAGGTGGGGATGGGGAATCCCCGATATGAATATTGCGGGTATGAAGGCGGGGATGGGGGAGAAAAGCTTACTGGGGATGGAGATGGGAATGCCATACCCACCCTCGATTCGACCCATTACCATCCCTAGGCTGTACTTTGTCCTTTCGTTTTAGGCTTTCAGAATCTTGCTTGGTGCAGTTGCGTGCAATTTGAGCAATCCTTACATGGTCTACATTATTCCGCGTGCATTAATATCACCCAACAAATCATGAGCTTTGCCTTTAACAAGTGGTGTTGTAGTTGTCTGCATTTACAAAATATAACACAAACCTCATTTTCGAAGTCTCTTACTTTTCCAGATGGCAAAAGGTCGTCGGATTCCATCATAAAAATGATTCTCGGAGAACTTAATACAAAATAAAAACGATTCTCGGGAATATGTTTTGTAGCCGTCGATACATGTTTTGAAAATGACGAGATTTGCGGCCAAAAACGTTTTCTTTTCATTTGGCCAAAGCTTCTTTCACCTCAATCTCCATTTTTTTAATTGAAAGGCGTTGATTTCTACTTTTGGTTAAAAGTGCCACATAGACCTTCAATAATATTATATAATATAAAAAATACTGTTCATTTCCCTCTAACCGATATGACATATGTGACGTGGAAAAACAGCCCGTTTGATAACTATTTTAATTTTAATTTTTAGTTTTCATTTTTTATGGTAAAGTATAGAGGAATGAGAGTGAGAATGGGAGTGAGGATGAGATTGAGAGAGATGAGAGGATATGAGGAAAAAGTAACAAAAGTGAAAACAATTTCAAATGGATTTCAGTTTTTAGTTTTATTTTCACTTTTGTTACTTCTTCCTCCCTCCTCCTCTCTCATCTTCCATCTCAATCTCATCTTCACTTTCATTCTCCCTCTTTTTCCTCTATACTCAACACAAAAAATGAAAACTAAAAACTAAAATTGAAATTGTTATCAAACGGGCCCTTAAAATTGAAAGCTTTTAGCTTTTGTTAAAGACTAGCTATTATAGATTGAGCATGGCTTGGCTCCTTAAACTTAGGGAAAAACTCATCCTCACAACAAATGAAATAATGACGCTTGTAAAATTCAAAAAGGAAAAAAGTTAAACAAATTTGAAAGAAAACAAAATTCAAGGAATTTGACGAAGGAATCTGAGCATTTGGAAAAAAAAAAAAAAACACAAAACGAGTAGGGTGTATGCATAATAGTGAAACATGTGAAATTAAAATACAATGAGAAAAATGAGGATAACATGACAAGAAATTTCTCTCCATGCACATGTAGTAGTACAAAAATGTGTCCAGTTAAAACCATTCAGCTGCCAAGGAAGTTAGATTAACTGTGTGCTCCAGATTTCTCTGAATACTGAATGCACATGCAGTATGGCAGAAGAGCCAATAATCTGGAACATTCGTATGAATTCATCCCAAGTACGTCCCATTCAATATGGAACTTTCATACGTTTTTCTACAAACTTCTATTATTATGATATGAATGATGTGTCATTCGGTAACGTTTTCAGAGAATGTTTTCTTAGAATATTTTCTGAGAATGAAAACAAGAAAACGAATTTACATTTTCAGGAAATGAAAATGCGTCTGGTAGATTAATTAGAAAACATCTTCATAAAACAAAAACAATGAAAACGTGTCTGGTAGTTCAATTTGAAACAATAATATGTGAGTTATTTTTATGAAAATGATGAGAATGAAAACAACGTTTTTCTGTTTTCTACAAGTACACATGAACTTGTTTTCATTTTATGAAAACATTCTCAGTGTTTTCTGTTTTTGGGTCATCGAACGTGTTTTTACCTCATTTTTGTTCTTTGAAAATGAAAACAACTTCTTAAAACGTTACCGAACAGGATACGCTGACACAACACGTTTGTGGCGCTGTTGTTGGGTCATCGAACGTGTTTTTACCTCATTTTTGTTCTTTGAAAATGAAAACAACTTCTTAAAACGTTACCGAACAGGATACACTGACACAACACGTTTGTGGCTCATGACTCATCTTCTCAAGAAAATAAACTATATATATGAGGAGGCCATTGGCCAACCAGTGCCTCAAGAAAAAGAGTCACAAGAAAAAAAGGATTCTTCTCAAAATCCAACCATGGTTAGTGTTCTTATGCTTCCATGGCTAGCTCACGGCCACATATCTCCCTTCCTAGAGCTAGCCAAGAAGCTCACCAATAAGAACAATAATTTTTACATATTTATTTGTTCCACGCCTGTAAATCTCAGCTCCATCAAATCAAAACTCTCTGAAGAATACTCTCATTGCATTGAATTTGTGGAACTACATCTTCCACATAATGACTTGCCACCTCACTACCACACTACCAATGGCCTCCCTCCCCATCTCATGGCCACTCTCAAAAAGGCCTTTGACATGGCCAGCCCCAACTTCTCCAACATCCTCAAAACCCTAAAGCCGGATTTGCTCATTTACGATTTTCTTCAACCATGGGCACCCTCTCTTGCTTTGTTGCAAAATATTCCAGCCATAGAGTTCAGCATCATGAACGCTGCGCTCTTGAGTTCAATTTGTGCTCACGATCTCAACAATCCTACTGCCAAATTTCCTTTGCATCTTCGGGATTACGATATTCGAAAGTTCCACAATCAGTGTGAATTTTCATCAAATGGCATCAAGGATGGAGACCGCATACAGCAATGCTGTGCTCGATCTTGTAAGATCATTTTGGTAAAGACATCTAGAGAGATTGAAGCAAAATATGTTGATTATCTCTCTGATTTAGTGAGGAAGAAGATTGTGCCGGTTGGTCCTCTTGTTCAAGACCCAATGGATCAAACACTTGATGAGGAAACATGGATCATGAAATGGCTGAACAAAAGGGAGAGGTCTTCAGTTGTGTATGTTTCCTTTGGCAGTGAGTACTTTTTGTCCAAGGAGGAAATAGAAGACATAGCTCATGGGTTAGAGCTTAGCAAAGTGAGCTTTATTTGGGTTATAAGATTTCCTAAGGAAGAGAAAGGTACTAGGGTTGAAGAGGTGTTACCAGAAGGGTTTTCAGAGAGGGTGGGAGAGAAGGGCCCCCCAGTCAAAAATATTGGAGCATTACAGTGTCGGTGGGTTTGTGAGTCACTGTGGATGGAGCTCAGTGTTGGAGAGCATCAAGTTTGGTGTTCCAATTATAGCTTTGCCTATGCTTTATGACCAGCCAATCAACGCTAGACTAGTGGAGGAGGTGGGTGTTGGAGTGGAGGTTAAGAGAACAGCAGAAGGCAGTTTGCAAAGTGAAGAGGTAGCAAAGATGATTAGAGATGTGGTGGTGGAGAAAATTGGAGAGGGTGTGAGAAAAAAGGCATTGGAATTAAGAGACAACATGAAAAAGAAAGAGGATGGAGAGATAGATGGGGTGGTGGAGGAGTTGATGCAACTGTGCACCAGATAGGAATCAAGTACGACGTTTTGCATATAATTTGCAATTTGTCTAGTAACTAAAAATATTAATGTTGGATTTGTATTCTCAGTTTTAAGCGATGTTGGTTTTCTTTGTATGTGGGAGAACAATATTACTATGGAGGAGCCCAAAGTTTGTGTCCCATAAGCAATAAAATTGCCAGCTTTTATATATTATTATAGACTTGTAAGTTTATCGCTTTTTCTTTGTTATGGTGGTTCGAATCCGAAATTAGTGAACTGCAGATCAAAATCCTTTTTCGCTCACCTAGACCAGTTCACATTAAATCTGAAGTTTAAGTATGCAGTTAGACCAAACTGCCTACATAAAGCTTCCACGTACGTTTCTCTTATCTTCAAACTTTTTGTCGATCATGACTCGTCTCGTCTCCATCACTACACACCTGTCCAGCGACAAAGGAATAAAAAAAATTGAATTATTCTCAGCCAAAACTCAACTCCATCAAGCCATAACTCTTTGAAAACTGCTCTCTAGCCACTGTCAAAATCATGACACTTCCATGAAATAAAATTGTTGTCAAATAAAAAATATCTAAAATTGTGGCACTCTTCCCCTTATAGGTCACGTCCTCTAAGTCCAGATATTTTTCTTTTGGGATCTTTTAACTCGATCATGATGAAAAATTTAACAAAAAATATATATACAAAGGCTTTTTAGGAGCTATGGTCCTGAACCTGTACTCATATGTGCTTTTAGTGCTTCAACTTTCAAAATGACTCCCACTGTCCCTCAACTCCACTTTTATTTATAACGAAAGTGTTGGAGCAACTTCTGTTACCTTCTTCGGTCAAAATGAGGGGCAAATTGGTCCTATCGCTCACTCCCATACTCCTAAGCCCTCTCTCTCTCTCTCTCTCTCTCTCTCTCTCTCTCTCTCTCTCTCGCTATGAAAAATGGTGGTAGCATAAGCTTTCTCAATGCCACTGAGCTTCTCATTCGCTTCTTGCCACATAACTTCAGCTCTTCATTTGTTTTTCTCTCATGTACAAACCACACAACACAAAATCATACAACCATTTTTTAATTTTCGTGTATATATATGCATAAAGTAAAGTAAAAGATAGAGAATGACAAAACATTCAAAATACCAGAAAATGTCATTGCTTAATGCAAACATTAAGAATTTAAATTATAAATTAAATTAGGATAATATGATAAATTCAAACTTTTTCATATAAAAAAAAATTAATTAAAAAATAAAATCAGATAATGAATCATATTTTTATGAAACACAACTAGCTATCATCTTTTTAAATTCTGAAATAAAATAAAAAATTTTAAAAAATCCATCATCGAAGTCCACAGTATATATAATTGATTATTATTTGGCAATAAATTTCTGGTGTTATGCAGAAATCCATCATCGAAGCCAACAGTCTACCTTGCAGAGTCCGTACAACCACATGCCCTATTCCAAATCAGGGCCTACCCCCAGACCAAAAAAAAAAAAA